ATATGGGCAATGATTTTATGCAATTGTATAGTAATATGATGCAACAATATTCAAAAACCATGTTAGGGCTTTTTGTTTGATACAAAATTTAAAATATACACTCTTTTCATTCTAATGAACAATTACAAAAAATAAAAATTTGAAAATACAATTTAGAAAGTATTTTTGTTAGTCCAATTAATATAGGCAGTCCATTTTGATAAGATGCTTAGATCTAGGCCTTGGAAAGACTTTTTCTTTTCCAATTTTGTTAGATGGCTTTACTATCATTAGATGAACAATGTTAAAAAAGAAAAAAATGATTTTGAGTTTGTAAAGGCTAAGTTTTTGGAATTCACCAAATGAATGGTCTAGATTTGTTGTTGGAGAGGCTTTTTTTTTACCATATCTAGGGTTCAAATTGAAGTTTTTTTTTTTTGGATTGATTATTGAGATGAAGGGAGTGTGTGTGCAAAATTTTGAGTTATACAAATACTACAAACATGGTTTTTTAGAAGTGTGGTTGCATCATACTGTGATACGACCATTGCATTATATCATTGCCATATATGAAGGACCCAATATAGATTGTGACCTAGGTGATAGGTTGCAACGTTAAACAATCCACCAATTAAGGCGCACCTCCAAATTGTATCACATGTAATTATACATTTTAAGGTTGCAACCTTAGGATATGGTTACCATGTGGACTTACTTGCATAGTCAGTTGCCTCACCCACCGTCCAACTTTGTTAGATGCCTGCCAATTTTGTTGGAGGTTAGGTGTGGTCAAGTTCATGTCTATATATATATATATATTTCCTCTGTCTAGAGAGAATTTTTCTGATGCACCATTGAAGTTGAGAGAGGAAGGGAGAGAATATTAGTGTAGTGCATCATGGAAGTTGGTGAATGGTCTTCTAAGCAGAAAGGTGATCTCATTACCTTTTCAGGGTAGGGCTTAGCTCGGGGGAAGTCGAACTGGTGAAGGAGCGATATCCGCACTGTGGGCCTCTACTATACTCCCCAATCTCCGGAATGGATGGGAGTTCCATCCAAGCCCTCTTTTTTATAGACATAAGGAGCAACCACCGGCCTGACCTAATTTTTGTATTATAAGGTTTATGATTGATGCGCAGTCAGCTTCCATCTCCATAATAAACAATGATGGAGACCCGACAGCTACTGTTTATTGAAAATGAATAAAAAAATGAATAGGAGGTAAAAGTAGGGGAATATTATAGATACCATTTGTACTTTCTTAGGTATCCTCGCCCCCCAATATTTATATTAGATACCATTTGAATTAGGTATCCTCTCCCCCAGTAATTTTTATCACATTATTAGTTCCGACATTGTTTTTCTTTACATCTACCCCTCCCTTTCAAAAAAAAAAACGTAAAAATGTCAATTTGTTTGGATTAAAATACCCTTCATTTTAACCATGTTTCCAAAACATGATACCCATATGTGTCGGTCTAGCACAAAAATGTGGTGGACTAGCATAAGTTAAATATAGAGTGGGTTCGACATAAAAAAATTGTTGGATCAGCTTTGTAGAAGTTGTGCTAGTCCGGAACAAAAATGTGTTGTACTGATACAAGTTGAATATAGACTATATAAGTTGTGCCGGTCCGATACAACTTCGAGAGAGTGGAAAATTTGGCAAAAAAGAGAGGGTATTTTAGTTTTAAAAAGTTAACTTTTATACTTGGGGTAGTTGCAAAAAAAGAAAAGAAAAGAAAAAAGGTGTTGGTATAAAAAATGTTTTTAAGGAGAGGCCTTGTGTTTTTTTTTTCTTTCTTGGGTTGGGTGGGGCGAGCACGCCTAGAAAGTGCAAATTGTGGGGCATCTATAATTTCCCCTACAAGTACCATTCGACCCTCGAGCCTTATATCAACAAGTAAGTATGGTTATCATCGTCATCATCATTCGAGCTTTATCTCAACTATTTGGGGTCGGTTACACAAATCTTATTCTTATTCCGCTCTATTAAGAGTCATGTCTTTAGTCAGATTTCATGATATTCTATATGATGTCCATTTCCTATAAGGTCAGGGATTTCCCTCGAATTTGCCCCTGACTTTATAATGTAGTGGCTGATTTTAGAAAGTTAAATGTGAGAAGAAAAATGATTTTCTATTTAACACTCTAATCTTAATGCACTAAATTGTTTTTTGCAAGGTTTTAAAAAGCTGATAGGTGACTCCAATCATCCATATGCAAAACTGGGTTAGATCGCCAGTCCCGATTGGAATGGCCGGATCTAGTTTGAAATTATTTTAAAAAAATACTAAAAATCCTTTAAAATATTGTGCTTTAATATTTTAAATTTTTTTCGAGGGTAGTACATTATGTACTTTTATTATTTTACAAAAATACATGAAAAATGAGACATTGTTTCTTGTCTAAGTGTATACTAACATTAATTTTGATACTATTTTTAAATTAATTTTGATATATGACTTTTACAACTGATATTATTTTTGTAATTTCGTTCAGTACAATTAAGTTTGTCACATTATCAAAATGTCCTAAATTCTTAAAGAATCTCAACCCTGAGTTAATTTATAAATTTTCAACAAATTTTTTGAGAAAATATTTTTATGAAATAAAACTTAAAAATTAAATTCTAAAGGCCACTATTGGTTTTGTAAAATGATTGAAGCCCTTTAATCATACTTTCAACTTATTTTTCCTCCAAAAAAACTACACATGAGCTATGTAAAGGTGACCATACAGTAAATTCTCTCTACCTAATAAGTTAAGAGTAAATATTCTCTATCTAATAATTGAGAGAGAGTAGAAACAAATCCCAGTGTTAGTTAGTGAGAGAGAGAAAGAACTAATGCAAGCGTTGGTTTTTAAGTCAACTACTAATTGAGTTCCAAAGTCTACACTATAGAGAGAGAGAGAGAGAAAGAGAGAGAGAGGTCATAATTCGTTCCACATTGTAAATGTGGGGAAGGAAAGGAAAACCCAGCCACTTTAAAAAATTGACTCATGCCTTTGCAACGTGAATTATACAGGAGGCCATCCTTTTTACATGTGTCGGTTTGGATTTTTAAAATAAGACTAGAGAGAGAGAGAGAGAGAGTTGATAATTAGTTCCAAATTGTAAATGTGGGGAAGGAAAGGAAAACCAAGCGGCTTTAAAAAATTGACTCATGCCTTTGCAATGTGAATTATGCAGGAGGCCATCCTTTTTACATGTGTCGGTTGGATTTTAAAAGTAAGACCAGAGAGAGAGAGAGAGAGAGAGAGAGAGAGAGAGAGAGAGAGAGAGAGAGAGAGAGAGAGAGAGAGAGAG